CCCCCCCCCCCCCTTGCCCGTCCCTGTGGCAGTTTGCTGTGGCCTGGTGGATCCTGATTGACGCACATGTGGTGTCGGTCAAGTGGGAGCGCGAGCTGCGCGAGGGGTGCCGGCCGCCGGCCGACGGCAGCGCCGATCTCTTTGGCCTGGCCCCCGGGGTCCGAGAGCTTGTGGCCTGGATGTGGCCCGGCAAATCGAGCGCCGACGCCCTGGCCGCGGCCGCTTCGTCGGCCTCCTCCTCCTCCGGCAGCCTGCCGGAGTGCCCGCCGCATGTGTCGGGCGCCATGTGGTGGTGGTTCTACTTCCCGGCCCTGCTGAGCACCCTCTCCCTGATCATGTACGTGCTTGTGAGGGAGTGGGGGGGGGTCCTGCGGTCGGGCACGCGATTCCGGGCCTGCCCTGTCCCCCTCCCCGGCCTTCTGTGCGCTGTGTGCCTTTTTTTTTTTCCCCCGCGCCGCTCACCAAAGCTCCCTGCCCCATGCCGCCGGCGCGCCGGGCCGGCCGCTTGCCCACAGGGTGAATGCCGTGTCGAGCCAGGTCCTCAGCGGAGACACCTTCGACCTGGACGACGGGACCCTGCTCTTCGCGCGGGTGTGGATCTTCGTGGCCCTGTTCCTGAGCTTCGCCGGGCTGTTCGGCTCGGCGTGGATCATGATTCAGCGGTACTTTGTTCCGAACAAGGACGGTCTGCTGCCCCTGCACAAGTGGCCGGGCGTCTCGTTGCTGGTCAACACCTTCCTCATCTTCCTGTCGTCCATGCTGATGCGCTTCGGCCGTGCCCGGAGGGGGTCCTTCTGAGGGGGCGGGGCCGCGCCAGAGAGCCGGCTGTCACCTTTTGTCGGCACCGGTGTGTCAAGGCCCCGGCCGTGCCGCCCGACGGATATGTGCCTCTCTGCCTCGGCCCCCCCTGCGCCCCGCGCCCCCCCTCCCCCCCTCCTGGCCCCTGGTGGGGGTGCGAGAATACACCGAAAAGGAAGAAGAGAAACAGCCGGGGCGGGCCGCGCCAGGACAAGCAACGCGCCCTCGTCCGTGGGAGGAAGAGGGGCGAGAGGGAATTCACACAGGGGGGAAGGCATGCGGTGGGCTATTGGCGTGTCATGGTGGCCTGGCAGTGCCCTTGACCGGGGGCTGCCACATGGCACTGGGCTGGGTGTGTGCGAGGGTGGGTCACTTGGGCGTGGGAGGGGCCGGGGCTGGCGCCTCGGCCTCCTCCCCGGGGCCGGGGAGGGCCTTGCGGTTGATGAGGAGCTCCAGGATGGCGTCCCACTCGCGGACGACCATGTTGTGCCCGCCTGTCCGGCGGAGGATCATCTGCTGGTCGGGCAGCCGATCGGCCAGATAGGCAACCGACATGACCGGCACGGCCTTGTCATCGATGGCTGCCACCGGGTGTGTATGGGGGGGAGGGGGGGCGGGGGGGAACATTGCACGACAAGGGGCGGTGGCAGGAGTGCAGGAGGAGCGTCAGAAAAGCGGGAGACACGGCGGGCGGACAGGGGAGAACAGGGGGCCGAGGCAAGGGCAGCCGGTCGCACCATGCCAGAGGTCCACCCGGGAGGGGTGTGTCTTCAGGCAGAAGCCCCAGGGGCTGCGCTCGACCACCATGTCGCGCGTGGCCCCGCGGTGTCCCTGCCGCAGGGACTCCAGCAGCCGGTGCTGGATGCGCTGCATGCGAGGGTTCCCGGCGGCCGAGAGGGCCAGGTTGGCCAGAAGCAGGCGCGACATGAGGAACCCGGCCACCGGGAGGGCGAGATTCCGGACCGGCCACAGGGGCCGCGTGAGCAGCCAGAAGAGCCGCAGCAGGGCCGTGTATTGCTTCTCATTGTGCGGGTCGCTCGGGGGGACATCCACCCACTGGGGGTCGGTGGAGATAGAGCCTGATGGTGGCCACGGTGAGTGTGTGTGTGTGTGTGTGTGTGTGTGTGTGTGTGCATCGGCGCGAGGGGGGAGGCATGTATCAGAGCTGCCCCCGGGAAGAGGGAGGAAGGGGCAGGGGCGGCGCACCGATGCCGATCACGCGGGGGCCAAGGAAGCTGCCGGCCGCCAGGGCATAGCAGCCGCCACTGGACCAGCCGACGATGTGAAACTTGTCGACCTGCACACGCGACGGGGGTGCATTGGCGGCGGAGAGCCGGGCGGTGTGGGACAATGTGGTGAGTGCCAGGAAGGAGAGGGGGGGGGGGGGGCGGAGGGGGAAGCGGGCGCGGCGAACCTCCAGGTGATCGGCCAGCTCGGCGATGTCCTTGCTGAAGGACTGCATGTTGCAAGTACCCAGGGGGGGGGGATTAGTAAAAAAAATAATGCCGGAGGTGATGGGTCACGCGCGGAGGAGCCATCCCTGTCGGACGCACCTCATACGTCCGGTTGGGA